GTGTGTGTGTGTGTGTGTGTGTGTGTGTAATTGATTTTACCTAGAAACAGAAATGAAACACAAATTATTATTCAAAAAGAAAAAAATAAGTAGGTCCTACTTATTTTTTTCTTTTTGATATTTTCTACCTGGATTACTGAAATGCATCAGGACACAAATTATTATTCTTTCATTTTCTGTGTATTATAACATCTATGTTGAATTCTGTGACCCGCACATCATTATTTTTCATAAGGCCCAGCCAAAATCTCAGGTCAAGTAGCACTCTTACATAAATGGACAAAAATGCAGAGTTTGCAGCCAGGGGCGGAGCCAGAGAGAGGCCCAGCCGTCTGATTGGCCACCCAAGGTGCCAAACCAAAATGATTGACAAATGGAGTGGGATTTACATGTGGCATCTCAGAAATTGGCATTTAATGAGAAACTTATTTTACGAGCTGGGGTAGCTTTCAGAATGGATTGCTCTTGGCTACCGCCAGACCAAACTTCAGCTCGGTATTTATAAAAATGGCTGAGTTGTAGCTTTTTGAAATGAGCTTTGGCAGCCATATTGGATTTTGTATTCAAAATCAGATTTTATAAAAGATTGTTTCTTGTCTATGCTACACTAATTTTCAGCTGTGTGTTTGAAAATTGTTAAACTATAGCCCTTTCTAAAATTAGCATCAGCAGTTATCTTAGTTGGAACTAACAATCAATGTTTTTTTTTAAAAAAAAAAACATTTTAATCATTCTTTGCTAAGATCACACACAAAATTGCTGCTCAGTTTTTCTTAAAACAGTTTAATTAGAGACATTTGAAGTTAACTGTGGAAGCCATCTTGATTTTTCAAATCCAGAGAAATTTAATTTATGTGCCCCACAAAAAATAAAAATAAAAACACCTTGGCCACCCCTGTGCCACCCCATGCAAAAACATGTAGCTCCACCTCTGTTTACAGCCTAAAATATATTTATTTCAATCAGGGAGGACTGATTGACCAAGTCCATACTTCAGTTTTTGTGTTTTGGGTAGCAGTGTTTATGGCACACATTTGAAATTACAAAGATTTTAAAAAGAATCTTTAGTTTCCAGAAACCTCGAACACTTTTCATTGGTGCCTGGGCAAGCTTAAGACCGCAGCACGGTGGAGCAGTGGTTAGTGAGAGAGTTGCAGGTTCACAACTCGGTCTGTGGATGTTCTGGGTGGAGTTTGCACATTCTCACAGTGCACCTGTGTGTTTTCTCTGGACGCTCCAAATACATGCACATTACATAAACTGGTAACTTTAAATTATCCTCAGACGAGCCTTGTTGTTTGTCTTTGTGTCCCTGTGAGGGACTTGTGACCTGTCCAGAGAGTCCCCCACTCAGTGACTTCTGGTGAATCAGCATCTGTGACCTGAAAAGGGGAAGTCGGTAAAAATAAATTTTCAAACAGTGATTTGGAACTAAAAAGCAAACTGAATCCATCAAAAACAAGACCTATATCTTGTTTGGACGTAAAATGATGAAACTGTGACAAACACGTGGTTTCAGCCTGTCTGAAGGTGAGCCGCTGTCAGCTTCCTTAAAGTCAAAGTCTAATCCTGACGATCCACGCTGCAGGTAAATGGGTTAGGAGGTCAGTCACGTCAGCCTCATCAGCACAGCCGTTTGTTGACTTGTAGGAATGGAAATGTCTTTGCTTAACGTTTCCTTTAAAACAACAACAACAAAACTATTAAAGGGATTTCACCCATATTTTATATCATGCTGATGGTTCCTGAGTGACCTTCTCCTCTGACAGAGATCAGTCCAGCTATCTGACACGTCATCCATTTCTAACACAAACATATCTGATCCCAGAGCCAATTTATACAGCCCCATGACCCTGAACTTTGTATCAATCTTAGCTAATTGCAGCCTTGTCAGAAGTGTGAATATTCAAACAGGTAATGCAAATGTTAATGAGATCAGATTTGCATATCTTTATTTTATCCCCCTGTGGCTGAAATGTCATTGGTTCTGATGGTCTACAATGAAGAATGTCACTCCTGATGGCCCCATGATACATTCTTTGTCATTAAGAGGTAAAAAGACAAAGGAAACAAATTAAAGCAAACATATAAATTGAAGTTTATAACAATTACTGGACGGCAAACAGGATTCTGCAGTGTAAGCAATCAGACAATGTGTCTTTGCAGTTTTGAGTTGTTCTTTTCATTTTGCTGTCGTCCGTGCTCCATCCCAGTGCGGTTGGCACACGGCTCGTCGTCATGCGCCTGATTTGATATGGCTTAAGTAACCATCTTCCTGCCAGTGATTGGCATTCGCACAAGAGAAGGGGTGAGCGGGACCGGGGAGCAGATGGTGACATTCCACATGACCAAACTGATCAATCAGCCTGCTGGGACGCAGGTGCAGCACAGGCGG